AAAAAAAATTATGGTAATTTTATGCAAATGTATTCACGATAACCTCGACACGACCTCGTATTCAAATCTATTTTATGTATGCAAATGTATTCACAATATCCCATTGTGACGTCATCCTCATTCAAATTATCCCCTTTATGGCCATGGACGCTCATTTATGCTAATTTATGCACGAATTCCCATTGTGACGTCATTATTTATGCTCATCTATGCACGGGCACCCATTGTGACGTCATCCCACCCCGTATGACGTCATGGCATCCCGAGTATGAACAGCGCCCTCATGGTCGTACCTATAGTGTGTCCTAAACTACTATCATATTTATTAAAGTTACTGGTCATATATGGGCTGTTTAACACAATGCATAGTTTGTAATTTCATTCAGCTTCTTTCAGTCATAATTAAAGACAAATAAAAGGCAAAAATAATGATAATGTCAGGACTTTTTCTCCCAACAAACGAAAGTATTTCACAATGTCGAAAACATTGTCGTAGTCTTTGAAATTTGTTTATGTAATTAAATGCAAACGTTTGTGATAACATAAACTAATTATTGCCAATATAATTTAGCGGCTAATAATTATCACCTCAATTTAGAGTGATAGCATTTACCATTACATTATCTGCTTTCACTATCAATGTAACGAATATTTGTCTTCATTGAATAGAGAAAGTACATGTTCATACAAACTGTGAACATATTATTGTATTGCACTGTATGTTGAGTTGGCAGTTATCTTTTCATTTTGTCAGCCAGACTTTGTATTTAAAATGTGTTTTAAGTGTATATATACAGAATATACAGAGACAGTGATGTTAAAGAGCGGTAGTCGTCGCACCGCGCATGCGCGAGATATGGGTCTCATATAAACAAAGATTGCGATTTTGACTGTTGCGCACACTGACTTGTACAGACTGAGAGGTTACCAAGCTTCAATTTAGGTATGTTTTTGTTGTTTGGAAGGTATCGACGGAGTAGCCAGCGGTAATTAGCCTAGGACAAAACTCGTAGTCGTTATTTCATTAGAAAGACGCATTGTATTGTTGGAAAAACAATGTTTATCAACACAAATGTCGCACACGCGCGGTGTGACAACTACCACTACCGCCCTTTAACAAACGAACATTGTGTTGTATGTATATTACTGCATTGGTAAATGTGATATGCAAACTTGTCTTTATACAATGCATTACTTTACATAGAATAATACATTTATCATTCTTGTTCTCGACTAAATGATGTAATAACTGATCATCAGAGTGAATAGAACACTTGTGGGTTTCTAGACGTTTGTGCATGGTGCGCATGCGCTCTGCAACTGTTAATTTTTAGTCAAATATGTCCAAATCGACAACACATTTCCAGTAGTTCACGGTACTATAAGTCAAACGTTTACCCGTAATCATTTCGTGTTTGTATTTTACCACGAACAAGTATGACAAATAACATGTGCCACAGAAACCTGCTAATGGTGTTTTGCTATGAAAGTTTCACATATACATGTATACAAACCTGAATTCCTCAACGTCTGGTGGCCCTTCATCGGCCATAGCGTATTATAAATGGTTGAATTCTCCAACGGCAAAATAAGTAACATTAATGAACGAACACAGCTTTTGTGTCGGAACAAATGGACTCATCGCGGACTGCTATGTTTAAATGATGTCGACAGTATTGAAGATTAAAACTAATCAGCTTTTGAAATGTACTCGAAAATTTATTCTAAAAATAGTTTTCATATTCTGACCTATTAGGAAGATTATATTGCTATGTTTTGCAATGACAATTGGCATGGTACTATCTATCAATGCATAGATTATATGCAGTGTGTCATTAAGGTTTTTTAATCGAGGATTTCTTGCGTGTGTGTGAGCGCCCTCTACTGTTCAATCAAACACTTTATGCCGGGCGTGTTGTCATAATTAATAAACTATGTCGTCATTACTCGTACAAAAAAAAACGAAAAAAAAATTGAAGCAGTATAATTTATGATAATTTATGTTAATATCACAAAATCAGTATTCAAAGGCAGCACTGTGATTAAGAGCCATAAACTTCTACTTCACATAAAGTTAACCAATTGTTATGGTCTTTTAGTTGTACACCAACATAACGACCACTCAGCTGACAATCAAAGGGAATTCTTTCTTCATATGTGTTGGAATTCCAGTCTATTTGAACACCACATTGGTGATTTTGGCTTATATGAGGATCGTCCCCAATCAAAACTACAGCACCATCAATTCTATCTTCTGTAATATACAAACATGACAATTTTCACTTATTAATAGAAATGTGAAATTATATTTCACCTCGCAGGGAATAGTGGTGAATAATTAAAAAAAAAAATGTCATCACCATCACCATCAATCCAGACCATAGCTTCATCTATTGTTTCAGCTGCAATATAACAGACGTACCTTTCTCTGAATAAGTGAATGGGAATGTATATTG